AAAATACTGAAGTAAAATATCTGAACAGAAGATTTCAAAGGGCAGCTCAAGGAGACAAAGTGAAGTATTATAATGAAACATGCCAAGACTTGGAGTTAGAATATCAAAAGAAAGAACGTGCTTAATATTTCTCAGCTGAAAGAACTGAAGAAAAAATTCAAGCCTTGAGTTGCAATATTGAAGGATTCTGTGGGCAAAATATTGAACGATGCAGGAAACATCAATAGAAGATGGACAGGATACACAGAGTCACTGTACTAAAAAAAATTGGTCAACATTCAGCCATTTTAGAAGGTAGCAGATGATCAAGAACTGATGGTATTGAAGGAAGAAGTTCAAGCTGCACTGAAGAAATTTGTTAAAAACAAGACTCCGGTGACTGGTTGAGATAGTTCAACAAATCAGTGCTGAAAGTGCTCACTTGTTTATGCCAAGAAATTTGGACTTGTCCAATCAAGTGGAGCAAATCCATATTTGTGCCAATTCCAAGGAAAGTTGATCCAAGAGAATAAGGAAATTATTGAACCATATCATTAATACCACATACAAGTAAAATTTTGCTGAAAATAATTCAAAAAGTATTGCAGCATACCTAGACAGGGAACTGCCAGATATTCAAGCTGGATTCAGAAGAGGACGTGGAACAAGAGTTATCATTGCTGATGTCAAATGGGTCTTGTGTGAGTGCAAGAGTACCAGAAAGATGTTTATCTATGTTTTATTGACTATGCAAAGGCATTCATCTGTGTGGATCATACCAAATTATGGATAACATTGTGAAGAATTGGAATTCAGGAGACTTAATTGTGCTCATGAGGAATCTGTATATATACCAAGAGGCAGTTTAAAATCAGAAAAAGTGTATGTCAGAGCTGTCTCCTTTCACCATACTTATTCAATTTGTATGCTGAACAAATAATCTGAGAAGCTGGACTAGATGAAGAATACAGCATCAGAATTGGAGGAAAAATCTTTAACAACCTGTGATATGTAGATGACAAACTTGATTGCTGAAAGCAAAGAAGACTTGAAGCATTTACTGATGAAGATGAAAGACTATACCCTTCAGTATGGATTATACATCAATAAAAGGAAAACTAAAATCCTCACAACTGGACCAGTAAGCAACATTATAATAAATGAAGAAAAGATTGAAGTTTTCCAGGATTTAATTTTACTTGGATCCACAGTCAACATCCATGGAAGCAGCAGTCAAGAAATCAAACAATATATTGCATTTGGGCAAATCTGCTGCAAAAGATTTCTTAAAAGTATTCAAGAGCAAAGATGTTACTTTGAAGACTAATGTGTGACTGACCCAAGCCATTGTTTTTTCAATCATCTCATATGCATCTGCTGGGTGGACAATGAAAAAGGAATTTAACAGACAAACTGATGCATTTGAATTGTGGTGTTGGCAAAGAATATTAAATGTACCATGGACTGTAAGAACAACTAACAAATCTGCCTTGGAAGAAATACAGCTGGAATGCTTCCTTCTTACAAGCAAGAATGGCTAGACTTCGTCTCGTTATTTTGGTCATGTTATCAGGAGGGACCTATCCTTGGAGAAGGATATCAAGTTTGATAAAGTAGAGGGTCAACGAGAAAGGGGAGGACCCTCAATTAGATTGATTGACACAGTCGCTGCAGCAATGGACTCAAGCACAGCAACGATTGTGATGATGGTGCAGACCAGGCAGTGTTTCATTGTGTTGTACATAGGGTCACTGGGAGGTAAAACTGACTTGACATCATTTAACAACAACAAGTATTAAGGCAGTATCTTACTATAGCTTCTCTAGGATCAGGAAGAAGCAGATAATATTATTTTAATTTTTTAAAAACTAGAATAAAATTAGTACTTGCAAGTGATTTGTTTTTCCAGTATAAAATGCCAGTTTTGTCTCCAA